AGGCTGACAGATAGATGAATGCAGTGTCAACGGTGATGCAGACGCAGTACTGGGCTGTTGTGGTGAAGATAAAGTATGAAAGTACATCTATGATGTACCTTCTTACCCTCATCTTTGGCCCAGCAGTTTTTGATTTAGTTGTAGCCATAGTCTTTTGATTAAAAAAAGTTTAGTTTTATTTAGGGCTGCACGATTTTGCATAAAATGAGAATCACGATTTTTTTTGCTTAGAATTGAGATCACGATTCTCTCACGATTTTCTTTTCCAGTATAAATATTTATTGCGCTTATTAACTGCACATCAACTTCGTAACAGTTGAGACTGAACATAAAAACAATAAATAAACATAAAAACAACAAACATCTCACGTTTTGTCGTTGCCGCAAAATGTTGTACTGCTTGAAATTCCGTCTCCACCGTTGCTCAACACTGCGTGTATAGAGCAGGTAGTGCAACAATAGAAAATTAGTTGCGGGACGGCACTGTGTAGCGTTTGTCTAGGTGTTGATCATTCTCCTAAATCCCTCGTTTTGCACATATATCTTACAGCCTCCGTAATTTCTTTGTGCCTGCAGGAGTTCGACGTGTATAGGGAAGCGCTGTATACGGTTCCCGTTATTGATGTTTGGGTGGTTGACCGAGACGGATTTTTTTCTGTCACTTTCTCGTCACCCCTGACGTGTTCTCCGTTGTTTTTTCCCTGCTAATTTTAGCATCACACGTCACAGCTTCTGTATCACGTGGTATAAGGCTCCGCCCTTGTCATTTGTTGAGCAGGAAGAGTGAGCGCTTGTTTTCATGCAGATTACGTCCCGGATCAAAATGCGATACAATCGTCATCGTCTTTTCTTTTCTTTTTTTTAAATCGTTGTTATTTGGAAATGAGATCACACATAAGTATGAATCGAGATCGCGATTTTCTAACGATTAAGCGTTGCAGCCCTAGTTTTACTCCTAATTAGAACTAGATTCTTTTAGTTTTAGTCACCTAAATATCGTAGGATTGTAGCAGACGAAGTCTAAAATTGATTCAGTTGAATAAAATACAAAGT